CTGGGTCTTCTTTTCATAAGGCTGGGGAACACTTCAAGCAGGTATTCTGTGCACATTCTCAAATATGACATTCTAGTCAAAACTTAATTATATAGCCAGTTTCTGATTATATTCTCTTAGAACAGTTCTTATTGAAACTTTGCAAATAACTATTTGTCATAAAATAAAAATATTCACCAACAGTTTTTGAATTCTGGAGGAATGATGTAGGGAGAAAAAATAAATGTTTCCATTTTATTTACAAAGGTATGATTTACTAAATTGCTTTAAGCCATATATAGCTTAAATTTTTTTCCTTAAATTTGGAACACATTTATTAGATGATTAAAAATTATTTTTATTTCATCAGTTCATTAGTCCCAAGTAATTAACTCTTGTTTTGCTTGATGTTGGGTTAGCAGCATATGAGCCAATTGGTTTCTTCATTAGAGTTTTGAAAGTTCTTGTCAAGTCCAATGGAAAGCTCTGAAGTGATCAGAAACTTGCCAGAGTCCTTTACAGGAGTCTTTGAAAACCCAATGCTTTAGGATTATGGTTGTTTGAAAAGCCTTTGGGGAAAGCATCAGAGTAAAACAATTAACTTGTCATCTGTGGGTGACAAGACTTAAAATGGCCATGATTAAAGATCTAATAATAGTTCATTATGATAATCTCATAATTGATATGGAAATTTGTTATTTCTGTGACATATAACATTTTAACATAATAATCAGAATTATGACTGATAACATTGTATCAGGACACATCAGACTTAAAGGAATTTCATACAATTTCTGGAACACTTAAACATCACTGTTTGACAATGTTTCCCATGCAAATTTGCCATGTCAAATAAGCCTAATTAGTTTATCATCTCTTGTAAAGTGAGGGAATAGATTCTTTTGAGAACTTGAAGAGTTTCTCTAGAAGGTTCCAAAGTCAATTTGAGGAAAGAAAGGAAGGAAGGGAGAGAAGGAGGGAGGAAAGGAGGGAGGGAAGGAGTGGGAGGAAGAAGAAAGAGAGGCAGGCAGACTAGCAATATAGAATTTGATTTTGAGTAGTTTGTTAAAAGTATCAAAAGGCTTAAAACACTGGATTGTATGTTCACAGCCCATCCCTGCTGCTGGCTGAGGTACCATGCCTGCAATACAGGAGCTCAGTGGCATTAGGCAGTTTCTGCTGAATGCAAGTGTCCCACCTTGTCCAGCAAATTGGTGAGGAATGAAGGAAAACTGAAATTGGGAAATGCAGCAATCCAAATGGCCATAGGCACAATTATTAATTCCTAGTTAATAGTTGTTCATGAAGTAATTGATCCTGTTACAAATATGAATTTGAATTTGACAGACCTCATAAAATATACGAGGTAGACAATTATGAAGTCCTTTGATCTAAGAATCTGGATATGGATGTGTTGTACTTTGTGGATATTCTAAGTATGACAATAAATGTGGCTGTATATACCTGAGAAAAACCTCTAGAAATTCCTTCTGACGGGAGTTCTTTATAAAGTAAAAGTATATGAAACTGACAAAAATATTGTAGTCTATGAAGGAGAATAGCTCTTAGAGATTGACATTGTAGAAAGACTAATAACTTCTTTCTGTACTTGAAAAAATTCTTTATGCCTTTGGAATATTAAGAAGTCATTACATAATTGTGCCTCCACATTATGTTCTCAAATGCCTGACTTATTGAAATCATTGTAAGGCCTATTACAAATTCAAATCTATTTTAAAGCCAAACTTGTGATATATCTTGAATATCATTTAGAGGATTTATCTATAGATTAAAAAATCACTTCACTTTCAGTCAACCCCCAACACACAAATAAAAGAAAAGCAACAACATCACAGATTATTATGAAACAATGCAAATTAACAAAATATTTTAAAGGCAATTATAGCCAGCCCTCTGTATTCATCAGTTTTGTATCCACAGATTGAACTAATTGCAGAATAAAAATATTCAGAAAAAATTGAATCTGTATTAAATAGGAACAAACATTTTTCTTGTCATTATTCCCTAAAAAATATAGTACAGTAACTATTTACATGTCATTTACATTGTATTAAATACAACAAGCAATCTAGAGATGATTTATAGTATATGGGAGAAGGTGTATAAGTTTTATGCAAATACTATGCCATTTTATATAAGGTACTTGAACATCTGCTATTTTGGTACCTGTGTGGGAAAGACGGGTGTCCTGGAATCAGTCCCTGACAGATACCAAGAGATGACTGTACAGAAAAGTTGCATGGTTGAAAATAACCTTAGCAGGCTGGGTTTGTGGCTCAGTGGTAGACCACTTGCCTCTCATGCATGGAACACTGGGTTCGATCCTCAGCAATATAATAAAATAAAGGTATTGTGTCCATCTACAACTAGAAAAACCTTTTTAAATAAAAAGAAAAAAAGAACCTTAGCTCTTTTAATATTGTGAAGACTTTGTTTTTTTTTTTTAAGCAAYCAAAAGATCTAATAAAAGACTGGGATAATAATAATAAGAGACATATAATATTTACTTCAACTTTGTTTACATACTTTGTTGCTGGAGTTTCTTTGATGGGATTCAGATTTTTGATTTTTTCCCCTCCCAAGGGATACATTCTCAGCCTCTTGAGTAATAACCATGCTATTTAACCACAAGTATTATTCAAATGTTAATGAAATGCTCTCACTGCATCCTCATTTATATCTTACAAGGACCAGTTGAGCTAACATTAGAACTAAGAAACTTTGACTTCTACTCTACATCCCTTTCTGCTGTAGTACCCCATTTGCTAATGGAAGGGTTTTTTGTTTGTTTGTTTGTTTTTGTTTAATCTCCTGAGAGACATATGCTTATCACTGTGGCTCTTTTTTGTCTGTGCAATGTATATTTTCCTTTTTTTTCTTAATACCAATCTGAACTTCTGCCAAATAGAGTTGATCTATCCCTGAGTCTAGGGATGGACATGTGACTCAGACTGGCCAATCAGAAATGACATTTGTATGGCTTGTGACCCAAGRTGGGCCAATGAGAAAGTTCAGATCCAGAACTTGCATTATATAGGAGAAAATATAAGAAAGGGCACAGTGGCCAGCCATCTTGCTAATCCTATGGCATATAAGAAAGAAGTTAGCAGAGCTAATATATGAGACACTTGAATATAAGAACATCACTCAAATCCCTGGATTCTGTCAATCTTGAAGTCCAATTAATTGTGGACTTTTCACAAAAATGTTTCTGTTTGCTTACACCAAGTTAAATCCTTTGGCTTTAAACAAGTTAGATTTTCTTTATCAGTTCTTTAGGAATAGTAAATTTTATCTTATATAAATAAAGTTATTCAAATAATACAAGTTAAATATTGGAGAAACTATTTCATTTTTTAGTCATGTGTAGTTTTAGAATTTTTGAGCCAGAAACTTGACGGACACTTAGCTAGACTAGCTCTAGTGAGAGGATCTGAAAATACCTTGTTCTGGATTTTGTGTCTTTCTTTCCTCATGAGGTCTACTGGAAACCAATACCTGTAGAAGCTCAAGGAGAGACTTGTTGGAATGGTGCATGAATCTGGGTTAGTGTGAGCATCCACGAAACTGCAAGTATGTGTTCTAATCTTATTCCTGAAATAAATTATTCATACTTTTTTGGGAAAAAAGATAACATGAACCACAGGGAATTATTTTCAAAAGATGTAACCTCTTTGTTTTCAAGGCAGATCACTTAAAAGGTTAAGAAAAACTTYCACCAAGAAAACTTTGTTCTTTTAACAGAGAAAGGGTTGGTTTTATACAAATGTAATTTTGATATTAAGCATCATTTTAAAAATTCCTGTAATAACTTCATTCAATTTTAACCATCTTGACCATACATAAAATTCTTATTTCAAATGTTCTCTTCCAAAAACCTTCTACCACTTTCTTATATCCTTGTAGCTTATCCTGTACTTTTCCTCTTTCCCATTTTGAAACAACCAGTCATTTTACGTTAGGACAAAAATTATTCTTTGTCCCTTAACAATAAAATAACAACCAGAAAACACATTCTCATAACTTTCCTTACCAGAAATATGTCTTACTTTCTTTGTATACACAGTTATTTACTTTATTATTTCTAAAAATTGTATATATTAATGAGAACTTTTAGTAACTCTGATATTTAGAAATACACACTTACGTATTGTATACATTTCCACATTTATTAACATGCCCAAATACTTTTAGTTTCTCTCTACCAAATAAAAAGATATCAAAAGTATATAAACTTAAATTTAAGTTCAGAGTTAATGTTTCAGCATTTAACTGACTTAGACAGTTCAGAGATTTAATGAATATCTATTACTTAATTTAATATATTATAATTTTAACCTTTCAAGTTACCCAAAAAAAGTTCTTGAAACTATGAAAATTCATTTATAAATTTTTATCCCATTTATGGTCACCTCATTTACTTGTACTTAACAATAATGTGTGAATTGTTCATGAAAAAATTGTGAGATGTTAAACCAAGCTGACCACCATCCTGAGTTATTTCCTTGTTAACTGTTTTTACAGCATGTGCTTCTTAAGCCGTTGTCAACAAAGCAAGAACAGAAAGTCAAATATATATTTTTGCTGATAACACAGAAAAGGCAGCTCTTCATTATTAAACCAACAATATTAAACTAGTCTTCTTTACCAAAGACTTACTCAAATCACGTGAACTTGAAAAACATTGGAGTTGGTCTCAGTACTTCCAAGAGTTGAAGGAATACTCAATTCATATAATCACTTATTTTCCTTTAAGCCAATTAAACAGAGCTCCTCTATGGAATTTATAAATTAACTTGAAAATACCATCCAGATAGTAAAATGTCATATAGCAACTTGCATATATACATAAACAGATAGATGCAAAGATCTTATAGCTTTTGGTACATTTTTTTGGGGGGGGTCAGGTTTTCAAACAACTTCCCCCCTTTTCAGACTTACAATATTTCTTTTATTTTTTTCTTTGTTCTTTTTAGTTATACATGGCAGTAGAATCTATTAAAAATATGGAATGCTTCATGAATTTGCATGCCATCCTTGTTCAGGGGCTGTGCTAATCTTCTCTGTATTGTTCCAATTTTAGTATATGTGCTGCCAAAGAGAGCATAACAATATTTCAATTAGGTCAAAAGGCCAAAAGAGAAAATGGAAGAATAATATTTAATGATGAAATGGATAAAATCTAATGAAATCTAATGAAAACTATCCATCCCAAGTAGAATAAATACAAAGAGATTGACACCATAGCTAAACTGTTATTCTGAGGTGTTCTCTCTATCTCTCTCTCTCTTTTTTTAAAAACAAAATACATTTATTTATTTATTTATTTATTTATTTATTTATTTATATGTGGTGCTGAGGATGGAACCCAGGATCCCAGGGTMTCACACGTGCTAGACAAGCACTCTACCACCGAGCCACAACCGCAGCCGCTGAGGTGTTCTCTTCTTCACACTCTGACCACTTTACTCACAACAGCAGGGAGTCTCTGTCTTGACCTGCCTGACCTTTGCCCTAAACAATTGTTAGCTAGGTTGACTCACTGCAATCCCTACTTTCCAGCTTTTTATTAGTTATTTGTCTTATTTAAAATGGGATCTTGCTATRTTGCCTAGGCTGATCTTGGACTTGTGGGTTTCCACTTTTTTTAAACATTTGATCCCCAAATTTCCATTTGAAAAATTAGAATATCAACCAAAAGAAGCCAAATTATCAAATGCATGAATGAAACCAAATCTGGAATATAGACTTTCCAGTGTGGAAAACAGGATGTGCAGTGTGTGTGATTGCATTTTCAAAGTACATATAGAGTGAGGCTTTTGATCATAGCAGAGTCATGAGTTGGGCAAATCTGTCCTGCCTCTCTCTACACACACACACACACACACACACACACACAAAACAAACAAACAAACAAACAAACAAAAAAACTGAAATTGTTAAAAAAAATATGCCAGGGCTTTGAATATTTCAAAGGGAAACATTTCAAATGGAAGTTCATCCCATGGAAAAACACTCCTCTGAGAGACAAGTCCTGAGGAGAGAGAAAGGCTTTCTTCAGTGGCCAAATGAAGGAGAAAGAGGGAACTTTGCTCACAAATCAGTTTCTCAACTCTGGTTGAGCGATTGCAGAAACCGCACAGGAATAATGAGGAGGAGGGATAGGCTAATAAAGTGGAGGAATATTCATATCTTTTCTGGGAATAGGCAGAGATCTTCCAGGAACGCGGATGCCACTTTTTTTTTTTTTATTTCTTTCTTGGTCTGGTGTTTCTGGTCGTGGTGGCTGGTAGGTGTCTTTGGCRTGGGGGGATGGTTAGGAGAGCCCAGATCAAGTCAACACATTTCTCACATGTTCAACAGGCCTACATACAGAGCTGAGTAGAATCTGACCTAAAGGTTAAGACAACAAAGGAGACCAACACAGTATGAAGGCAGAGATGCCAAGTCTTTTTATCCCATTCCACTTACCCATTGGACATCCATAGACCCAAGTGAAGAGTTTTTACAGCAAAACTGGATTTCAGGTCCCTGAAGAGTAACCTAGGCAACTGTTATTGTCACAATCTTCACATCAGACGTGTTAACTCCTGCAAAACTTGTGAGACTAATAATGTATTACTCAGCAGTGTGACCTTCTAAATTAGTGATTTTTAAAGTCAACTAAGAGCAAGTGAAGCTAACAGGTTTATTTAGAGTTTTCTTCAGTAATATAACAACACAGGGAAAAATATGTAGTCTTGAAAACCTGCTAACATTTTATATAAAAATAATGAGAGTCTATGGCCTTCATGCCTGGAGCTGCCCCTGCCCTGTAGCTTGAACACAGCAGTTTTACCAGGGCAGCACTGATGGTGAAAACTAGCAGCCTCACTGTCAGAATCCAGTAGGCTTGATTTGGAGTGGAAGATGAAGACCCACCCCCAGTGCTGACAATAAAAGCAGCTAACTCAGGAGAAATTGTAAGGGAAATTTTGCGGCTCTCTTAGTCTATGGTTGCAGTCCTGGTTGGAGTAAGGAGCTGACCAGCAGAAATTTAATGGGGGAAATCCTAGAAACGAGAGCACCCTAGAGAAGTTATATAAGCTCTCCACACATCCCTGATTGATGCATATGTGTAGGGGAGAATCAAGAGAGCCTGAAAGAAAGTCAAAATTAGATAGACTCAAAAATGGACTGAATTTTGAATGTATTCCTCCACTCACACTGAGATCCATTACAAAGGATGGATCTTTTAGGCTGACAGTGTTTGAACCCAGCCTCTGCCCAATCCCTGTCTGACCACTGAGTTCTGCAGATATAGGAATGATCTTTAGAAAGTTAGGCAGGCTACAAATTAAAAAAAAAAAAAAGACAAAACCTGAAAACAACAACAAACCCCAAAACAAAACAAAACCAAGCAGAAGCATTAGTGACCACACACCGCAGGAGACGAAGATTCTGCTTATTAAGTTCAGACCAGTTAATAAAGACAATAAACGCTCAGGGGAAAAATCAGTCTACTATTGCTACACTATATCATATAAAATGTCAAGTTTTCAACAAAAATCGTGAGTCAAGTAAAGAAACAGAAAATCTGGCCTATACTCAAGGAAAAAAGGAAGTAACAGAAACCGATTCTGAGTGGGCCCAGAAGAAATTAGATTTGACAAAGATTTCAAAGCAGCCACTATAAACATATTCAAAGAATAAAGAAAATCATGCTTAAGAATTAAGAAATCAGTGTAATGACAATGATTCAATAAATAGAAGATCTCAATAAAGAAGTAGAAGTAATTTTTTAGAAAGGAACTTAATGGAAATTTCCTTTCTTCCTTCTTTCCTTTTCTCCTTTCCTCTCTTCCTCCTTCCCTTCCTTCCTTCTCTCCCTCCCTTCCTTTCATCTCTTTCTTTCTCCCACTTCCTCTTCTTTCTCCTTCCTTCCTTTCTTGAAAGGGTCTTACTTTGTTGCCAAGGCTGGTCTCAGACTCCTGGGCTCACACAACTCTCTTATCTCAGTCTCCCCAGCATCTGGGACTATAGCCACATGTCACTGTGTCTCATTAGCTTAATGAAAATTCTGAGTTGAAGTGTATAATAACAGAAACTGTAAAAAAAAATTACTAGAGGATATCACAGAAGAAAGAATCGGTGAACTTTAAGACATCATTAGAAATTACTCAATCTGAAGAACACAGAAAAAAAGATGAAAGAAAGTCAATAGAGCCTCAGATGTTGCTGGGATAACTCAAGCATAACAACATAAATGTAAGTGGAGCCCCAGAAGACTAAAATAGAAAGAGGCAGGAAAAATTTAATGATATAATGGATAAAAATTGCCAAAATCTGATGAAAAATTTCCACAGACCCCAGAAGCTAAACAAACCCAAGTGGAATAAATACAAAGAACCACACCTAGACACATTATAGTATAGGAAGCCAAAGCAAAAGAAAATCTGGAAGCTAACAAGAGAAAACCAACTGATCACATACAAGGGGACAATATAATTAATAACCAACCTCTCATTAGAAACGTGGAAGTCCAAAAACAGTAGCATGATATATTCAAATTGCTGAAAGAAAAACTGAAAATTTGTGTCTAGCAAAACTAACCTTTAATAATGAAGGTAAAATATTYTCAAATAAACAAAATCAGAGAATGTTTGCTAGCTGATATGTTTTACAAGCAACACTAAAGGAAATTCCTTAAGCTGAAAGGAAATGATAGAGGTGGTAACCAGAATCCAAAAAGAAAGAAAAAGAAAAGAAGAAGAACACAGGAAATGGTGAGTATGTGGGCCAATAGTAAAAATGGTTCTTTTATCTCCTCTTAATTTCTTCAAAAATATTTTGTAAAATGTTATAATAATTAGTATAATAAAATATAATTTTATAAGTTTATAACACATGCATACATATAAATAATAACAGCAAAAGGGAAGGAGGAATGGAGTTATGTTGAAGCAAAGTTACCATATTACACTGGAATTAAGTTAGTATGAACTTGAATTATATTTTGAAAAGGTAAAATGTATATTTTCATCTATGCAGCAACAATTAAGAATTTAAAATATTTCTTTATTTAAAATTTTAAATATCTAAAAACCTATCAATGGAATAAAAATGTTACACATGATATTTAATACAAAAGAAGAAAATAAAAGCAACAGATGAACAACAAAAAATCTGCCACATATAGAAATTAAATAACAACATGACAGATATAATCCAAGCCTATCAATAATTACATTACTTCCTAAACATCTAATTCAAAGGCAAACATAATTAGACTGGTTACAAAACAATATCCAATAAAATACTGTCTAGGGAGATAAACATTAGATTTAAAGATAAAAATAGAATTGACAGGAACTGGAGTGTAGCTCAGTGGTGGAGCACTTGCTTAGCATATGAGAGGCCCAGGATTCAATCCCCAGCAACACACACACACACACACACACACACACACACACACACACACACACTGGATTGATTGACAGTAAAAGGATGAAAAAGATTGACTATGTAACGGTAATCATAAGAGAGCTGGGCTGGCTGAATTAATATCAGACAGATTGACTTTAGGAAAAGAAATACACTACAGATTATATATATATATATATATATATATACACACAGAGAGAGAGAGAGAGAGAGAGAGAGAGAGAGATAAGCTTTTCATAATTGTAAAAAAAACTAATATAGCAGTAAGGTATAACTATTAGACACAAATAACAACAGAGCTGCAAAACATATGAAGCAAAAATTGACAAAACTGAAGAAAGAAATTGACAATTCTGTGTAGTTAGAGATTTCAATACCCAAATTTTGATAATTGATGAAATAACTGGACAGAAAATAAGAGTAAAACAATTTAAATACTTTTTATTTATTTATTTTTATTTTAAGAGAGAGAGAGAGAGAATTTTTTAATATTTATTTTTTAATTTTCAGCGGACACAACATCTTTGTTTGTATGTGGTGCTGAGGATCGAACCTGGGCCGCATGCATGCCAGGCGAGCGCGCTACCGSTTGAGCCACATCCCCAGCCCCGATTTAAATACTTTTAATAATGGCAGGGCACACCATGTGTTGGACCAGGAAACAAATCTAAATACATTTAAAAT